ACTTAAACTGAATCTATTACTTAAACTTAAACTTAAACTGAAACTTAAACTGAATCTATTACTTAAACTTAAACTGAAGCTATTACTTAAACTTAAACTTAAACTTATAGTTATACTTAACCTAAATCTTATAGTTATACTCAACCAAAAAGTAAATTGAAATTGTTTCCCATTTGTATGTGTGTGTATATAAAAATATCTTGATAAGTATGTATGCATAGATGGATATTTGTTTGTTGAAATGACATACATCATGTGAGTATCCATTTATATACGAATTATAATGGCGTCAATCATGGCAAATAGATCGACATAAATTACGATATAATATGAAATTGGATGAAAGAATCAAACATAGCCGGCTATGTCGAAATTAAGTGAGAAAATAGATTAATATAACTTCATACGTAAGAAGAATTTTGAATGACACAATGGAAAATAGCCGAATATGTGAAAATTGAATCAGTAACCACATTGATACTAGTTCATATCGATATATGAAATTTAAGTAAGAAAAAATAAAAACTAGAATCTAGTCGATAAAAATGATTCAGCAAAGTATACAAAAGAAAAGAAAAGATAAGATTCAATATCAAGTAAAATCACAATTTTATTTCGTAGAGAAAATTTTAATTCTAAATTTTATTCATATCAATACACACACCCTCAAAATATTATATGTTGATATCACATATATTTATATATGTGGAAATATTTATTTACGCTCACACTTTTATTTATAGAACCAAAATTTAAATCAATATCGTTCGTTTCGTCAATAATATAAGAAAAACTTTAAAGTTTGAATCGATAAATCTACTACAAAAAAAAGTATTTAACAACATTCTATTAACATCAAAACATCCTCAAGATTTAATAATCAACAGTTTTCATCATAGTTAGAATTTCTTTATTTTTGTTAAAATTAAAATCTTTTTATAACGAAAACAATACAACATACGACAGAAGAAAAAATAAACAATGATTGCATTAATCATAAGAGTATATAAATATAACAACGAGATTGATGAAATATCTGAAAACTAAAATACAAATATTATTTTACACAACAAAACATCAACTGATCTACTAACTAAAATTCATGACAAATAAAAATTTATATAATTCAATCGAAAACTATATAGATAATCGACATGCATAAATATATATATATATATATATAGGCAAGCTTACATCAACTAATTTCAGTACGCATAAAATTCTTTTTTGTTATTGAACATAAACAAAAAGAAATAATATCAAGATTCAAATAACATGAAATTACAATAAGAATCAAATGAAATATCATCTATTACAAATAATGATAATTGAACGGAAAATTGCTAAACAATATATCAACTTAAATTCAAATGAATTTAAATTATTTCAGATTACATCAATGATTCGAAACTAAACGAACAAATAAATTTTAGGAAAAAATATATAAACATAAAACTCATTAGATACATCCATACATATACATATTTAATCAACCAATTTAATATTTCGAAACAACTCTCATTCAATGACTACCATTTATAAAGATCGAACATTCTAAATAACAAAACACATCAATGAAAAACAAAAATTGAATAAAAAATCTTCAATATAACATACATACACAAAATAAAATAAAAAAACACAACTATTTTATTCATTTATAAATATTGAAAACTATTTTTCAACACTGCATCAATCTACAATAAAAAATACGATTGATTTACTGAAAAAATAACCATCGATTTGAAATTCAATACGAGAAAAAAATAAAGTTGAACAAACGAAATCAAGGAAACAAATAATATAACGATGAATAATACATTATAGCCAATCAACAAATGCATTCTTTTCTTTAGAGAAAATTAATAGAAATTTTAAACCAATACCAAAATAAAACTGTAATCAGCAATATGACAACTGCAAAAAAAAATTGTAACTATCTATCATTACGATCATCAAACTAAAAATATATAGTTATTTTATCTTCGTCACATATAAATGTGCACACACCCATCAACATTCGATTTATTCTTGAAGCTGGATGCCGTAAGAAAATAGAATTTTTTTTTTCTTTTCAATCCAATATGAACACGCGTGCATGTACATTCGATTCAAACTAACATAAGCAAAATGAACGAAAGCAAAGGAAACAGTTGACGAGATAAAAAAAAAAAACAGTCACCATACAGATTAACACAGATTCATATCGAATATAAAAATTTAGTAAGCAAAAGTGAATATTGCTGAGTAGTGAAAATCGAGTCAGCTAATAGATTGTCTCGACTTCATACATAATATGAAAAATTAGTAAGCAAAAGTGAATATTGCTGAGTACTGAAAATCGAGTCAGCTAATAGATTGTCTCGACTTCATACATAATATGAAAAAATAGTAAGCAAACCGAATATTGCTGAGTAGTAAAAAATTAGTCAGCAAATGGATTGTCTCAACTTCATAAATAATATGAAAAATTAGTAAGCAAAATGAATATTTCTGAGTAGTGAAAATCGAGTCAGATAAGA